TTTCTCTCCCCACAGAGCCTGGCCAGACGGAGGAACCCCCTCTTCCATTGATCCTGGATGAAGGCTCGGTCTACAAGGTGAAGGAAATTCTGCAGTCCCGGCGCCGTGGTGGTCAGCTGGAATACCTCGTGGACTGGGAAGGATACGGACCCGAGGAACGCTCATGGGTACCTAGGATCGATGTACTGGATCCCGCCTTAATGTCAGAGTTCCATGCGGCCCATCCGGATCAGCCGCCACCTCGGGGCAGAGGTAGACCACCACGACGTCAGGGTTTTCGGCCCTCAGGAGCGGGCCGTGGAGGGGGGGGTACTGTAACAGATTGGCCGGGCTCTGCCACCACCCAATCACAACGATCCCTCTCACCTGAATTCTAAGCATCCGCACCTGTCACCAATCAAGCACCTCATTACCAGCCTGCATAAAAGCACACACCTCAGACACCCTCACTGTCCGGTCTCGTTTATGCGTAGAGGAGTCACTGACTTTGCTACTGATTACCTTTGAATACTTCGTGCATTACTTACCTCCTGTGTTCCTCCTAGTGTCTCCCCGTCTCCAAGTGTCTCCTGCATCTCCTAGTTCCCGGATCGCTGAGGTTTGTGCTTTCCCCGGATACCTTCCAGCCTCACTCAAGCCCAAGACTCGGATTACTCCACTCTCCATATCCTCTGCACTCTCTCACGGACCTTTCCCTCTCCCGCACTTCCTCCGGACCCAACACCAGTACTCTCTGTCTCAAATGTCTCCACAAGGATAGTAATACTAGTAAATTTTGACCTTGTGGGGACATTTTTGAGGTCCCCATGAGGAAACAAGCTTATAAATCATACAGAATTAGTTTTTTTTGAGAAAGTAAAAATGCACAAAGTTTCCTGTAAGGGGTAGGGTTGGTGTAGGGCAATAACACATACAGTTTTTACAGTATAAAAACCATTAGGTAACACTTTATTTTGATAGTCCACTTTAGACATTCTATTAACAGCAAGTAACTTTGCAACTACATGTCAACTAGCAGTTAGTAGAGTATTAATGGATTGTCTGCTTAATATCTTCTAACACTTTCTTTGTCAACTTATTCTACTAACCCTAAACCTACCCTAACAGTCTACTCAGAGTTAGTAGACATGTAGTTGCAAATTAATGAGAATTATTTGACATGTAGTTACTTATAGTTAGTAGAATGTCTAAAGTGGACTATCGAAATAAAGTGGAAACATGGAAACACAACGTGTGTGTGTGTGTTTACTAGAAATGCAACATTGTTGATGCATTCAGCTTTGGTAAATAATAACTATGTCTTTAAATGGCACATCTAGAATCACAGTGTAGATGTCTGATTAGGTAGATGTGTAGTGAAGAGCATAATCACACATGGCCAGTTTAAATGAGGTGTTGTCTGCATGACACTGTCTTATCGCATCAGTCTCCTTTTGCACTGGCATTGATTGCACCCTGCTAATGAACGGCGACACTATCAAACAGCACATTAGGAAATGTATCTCGTTCAGCTGTAGAAAGACTTCCACAGACACACACACACATCTTCTCACATCGTCTCCCAGGCTGCTCTTTGACACACCAATGTGAGAGGGAAAATTAGGTATGTCTGTTGCCTATTAATTACAATCCTTTCCAGACTCTCCCACTGTTGCCAGAGAGCCAGTCCATTACCGTAGAGCTGTTAGCTGATAAATTAATAATCCGGCTTGTCAGCTGCAGTAGATGAATGGGCTGCAGTGATGGATGCTGTTTTCTTTCATAGGCCAAGAGTTTGATGTCAAAGCCAAATGTGTTATAAATGCAACTGGTTCCTTTACAGACGCACTGAGAAGAATGGATGACGATTGGATTTGCAACATCCGTCAGCCCAATGCAGGGGTGCACATTGTCATATCTACAGTGGGGAAAAAAAGTATTTAGTCAGCCACCAATTGTGCAAGTTCTCCCACTTAAAAAGATGAGAGAGGCCTGTAATTTTCATCATAGGTAGTGGAGGACAGAGGAGTCTCTTAAAGAAGAAGTTACAGGTCTGTGAGGGCCAGAAATCTTGCTTGTTTGTAGGTGACCAAATACTTATTTTACCGAGGAATTTACCAATTAATTCTTTAAAAATCCTACAATGTGATTTTCTGGATTTTTTTTCTCATTTTGTCTCTCATAGTTGAGGTATACCTATGATGAAAATTACAGGCCTCTCTCATCTTTTTAAGTGGGAGAACTTGCACAATTGGTGGCTGACTAAATACTTTTTTGCCCCACTGTAGATACTATAGGCATGCTGATTGATCAAAACCTGACTTCACAAGTCTTTATAAAGCTTGTGCACTGCAGTTGATCAAAATGGTTAATGTGGTACAGTTCAGCTATGGTGGGCACATTCTAAATATTAACTTTTTTATCAAATTTTCATTGCATTTATTCATCTAGAAGATACTTATTCAAAACAAAAAAATGAAGTAAGAAAGAAAGAAAGAAGTGATTTCTAACAACAACCTACATAATGTAAATAGGCCTTTATTTAAATGTCTGTACGTATATTTTCTACATAAAGCAAATGTGTTTCTAATCGATAGTAGACAGCATTTACACACTAACTTTCTTCACGAAGAAGACAAAGGAGAGTCCAAACAGGCTTTAATTAATCCACAAAGAAGAGATAAAAGTTCACAACCAAGGTGTAGTAACATACAAGCAATACCAGACGAAAAAGCTACGCAAAAGGAAGGCATTTAAACATGAGCAAACAAAGCGAGCTAATGAGTTAATTAATGAGCAACAGATGAACTGAATGAGACTGAATCCAACATACAGGGAAACTCAGTCAAATGACAGGGCAAACAAACCCAACAACACAATGAACCCAAAAACAGAGCATACATGTTACACCAACATGTACAACTTAGCTCTAACAGTGATGCTGGACCAGATGGAATTGAGCCTAGATATATCAAACTTCCCTCTCATATTCTTATGAACACACTGGCTGATCTCTTTAATATGCCATTACAGTCTGATGTGACCTACCAGCTTTTTGGAAGTACTCCCGTCCCAGCCAACATTTGTGTGTGGGGCCCATGTGGGTTTGACATGGGCTGAAAAAGTGGGCCCAAAATGGGATTGTCTGCGGGTTCCATAATGGCCCAATGTCAATTGCCCACATGGATTTCATGTGGGATTGTTCTTGACAACAGGTGGGCCCCAAATGGGCAACATGCGCAAGACCCATCTTGGCCCCAGCTTTATTTTTTATGTGGGTACTACAAGGTTACTACATGGGCTGAAATATGGGTTGTAAGTGGGTTTGTCCACGGGTTCCATGTTGGCCCCGTGCAACTTACCCATGTGGGTTTTATGCAGGATTTCCCTGGGCTTTAGGTGGGGCCCAACTGGGGATGATATGCAAAACCCATCTGGGTCCCATCTAAATATGGGTTGTAAGTGGGTTTGTCCACGGGTTCCATGTTGGCCCTGTGCAACTTACCCACGTGGGTTTTATGCAGGATTTCACTGGGTTTTAGGTGGGGCCCAACAAGACAATATGCTTAAAGCCCACCTGAAAAAAAATTTGTTTTCAAAACCACACAATTTTTTTTTTTTTTAAAGCATTAGAGCACACAGTGAGATTGAAACCTCTTCCAATTTTAATATTATTGTAACTACCCATCTTATTATGCTATATTCTGATACCTAATTGTTAAAATTAATCTTACTGTTAAAGTTAACACACACACTTTGAACCTGTTTTTGAACCAGTGTTTACTGAAAGCTTTGAACATTTGCACAAGAAAAAAACCAGGGACAGTTAGAAGCAGCAGCAACTATACATTTTTCAGTACTGCTTATACTGCAGACATTTGTGCATTCAAGACACCCTCAGTCCTCTTGTACCAATTTTGAGAGTTCCCTCTCAGCTTCTTGCAGTCTTCTTAAGAGCCTCTGCAAAACAAATAATAAAAAAAAAATAATAAATTTTATATATATATATATATACACACACATACAGCTATATAAGATAACATTAAAATAGCACTTTTGTGCTTAGCTGAATCATTGTGATACTAAAAATAATAATAAAAAAAAAAGGACATT